GTATTCCAGGTGGGTATCAGGAGAGCAGAGCAGAGGGGAAGAATCACCTCTTCTGACCTGCTGCCCACACTCCTTTGGATGCAGTCCAGGATGCAATTGGCTTTAAATGAAATGTAAGGTTCTCCTTTTTCTTTCTGGTGACTATAAGAGGCCTCAATGCATATGAGTTGGGTGTGATGAACCCCAATCCAGACCTGCCTTTGTGGGTTTAAGCAATTTGTATTTTCTCTAATAGTCCCTTTTGCAAACTGATGTGACCAGTTTACCTTTGCTGTTGTGAGAGAACTGTCTATCAGTGCAGAAGCTAGACCATAAAATTTTAGGTCCATCTAGGCTTCAGAAGTTGGTGAAGCCCTTTAAGTTAATCCTGTATTCCTCACAGTCAGGTGTGAGGGTTAGGCCTCCTTGGAGCTCTCCCAAACACAGATTGTGTCTCCCTAAAATAGAATAGGACCAAAATTAGAGGCATAGATGCCCCAACCCTGGCAGTGCTCACAGCCAGCCTGGATGAAGCCTTGAGCAACGTGCTCTGGTGGGAGGTGTCCCTGCCCAGGGCAGGGGGTTGGGGCTGGATGATCTCTAAGGTCCATTCCAAGCCCTAAAATCCTATGATTCCATGATATTAAATTCTAATACTTTGGATTAACAACTTTGAGTAGAGATTCAATAATGAAAGCAAAAAGTACAAGTCGAGTAGTGAGTACTTCACCTTCCAGACACTCCTTTCCAGTGGGTTATACTTTGTCATGTGTGGTGATTGCCTTTTATATTGGTTTGGTTCACCTCGAGTGCATGGATGGAGCATTTGGTTCAACACACAGTTAATGGGGAGAGATATTTGCTATGAAAGCAATAACAAACTTCACCTCAGAATGCTGTTCCCATGGATGACAGTCAGGATCTCCATCATAATGCCTCAACTTGTTTTATCTTAGCAGTGGAATTCAGTGACGAGAGCATGGAGGATGCTAAGAACCTTCTTCAGGCCATCTCCTCATTCATGAAGGATGGAGATGCCTATATAAAGGGGCAGCTGCTGTGTGAGCCCGTTAGAGAAGACACACTGTGGGAAAAGTAAGTGCTCCTCCTGGATGTCAAGGACTATGATGGTGTGAGCAGCACTTTGCTGACAGGCTCAGAGCGATGAGTAGTGTTCTGAGGTTTGTTTCAGAAGCAGGACAAGAAGGACTGAGGAGGTCCTCCCAGCCCTCACCAGGGGTAGCTTTCTTCCCTTCTTTTCCCAGCTAGCTGCTTTTCCTCATAGTCTGCCACACTGAGCTCATTGGGTTCTTCAGACTGTGGTTTATCTGGTGTGCCTGTCCTAAGTGTGCCTTTCTTGAGTGATGCAGAAGGCAAAGCTATGACTGCAGTGGTGAGTTTTTAAGTAGAACTGTGCATTGGTGATGGAAGAAGGAAGAGGATGGAGCTGCAGAATTTGTGGATGGGGCATAGCAACTGGTATCGTCTACCTGGACTTACGCAAAGCATTTGACACTGTCCCACATGACATTCTTGGCCCTAAATTGCAGAGACATGGATTTGATGAGTGGAACACTTGGTGGATAGAGAACTGGCTGGATGGTCACACAGAGAGTTGTGGTCAGTGGCTCATTGTCC